TACACACTGCCGAAATAGTCAGCATGTGATCTTATATCATCAAATTAGATGAATGATAATTCAAATGCATGTTAAATCGTTAAGGCCATTAGCTGCTTTCTTTTGAGATCTGATTAACATGAGAAAAAAGACAGGAAACTATGATATGTCTAATAGTCTGACTTGAATACTTATCATTCTTGTCTTAACCAAACATGCACCAAAGGCTTTTGAGCCAGTATATTGAATAGTTTTGAATATTGAACGCTCTCAAAGATCGAAGCTTTGTACTAAAGTAGGGTGTGAAGTTGATTTTTCTGGCGCATATGAATGTGTCAGTATATGAAACACTTTAACCCATATCTACGCTCTTATTGATTTATTCTTTTGAAATAAATCTAATATAGCATTAGATTTAAATTCTTATTCAAGTCTCTTTGATCGGCAATATTTTATTATTATAAATAAAATGAGAGAAGACTAAACTAGTTTAATATAATTAAAACAGATCGGTTCATAGTTTTAAATTTGAATTTGCGTTGGTGAAGAAAATAGAAGTTGTTGGATTTCTCGTATGTGTGATGTAATTGATACTACTTAACTTCTACAAAATTTTCATTTTTGAAATGATTTGTTTGATTTGTGGAGTAATAAATATGATCGCTATACTAAGTATGAACACAACAACTGCTGGACCCATAAATTCAATTTGATACATATGATAAGAACCAGAAAAACGATGATCAATATTTGTCATGATAGCGAAGCCTAGATTTGGTAATCCAGGTAAAGCAAGAGCAATGACAATAAATATAATACGACGAGTGACAATCAGATCACGATTAACCCTTCTTCGTTGTCGTTCTCGTAACGATTGAGGAGCCTGATGATGAATAAAATACAGCAAACAAGCATAGATGAAAGATAGATAACCAAGAGGAAAAAAGAAAATATTCATAATTGTATAAGAAAGTCCAAGAATTTTTTCATATCGAATACCACAGTAATAATCTGATTCATATAAAGAATAGAGTGAGCCCGGCCAGAAGTATGATGGAAGAAGTATGAGAAAATAAATAATCCATTGAAGTAGAATACAAATTAAATTGAATGAAAATCCCTAGAATTTCATTCTTAGTTTTTATAGCGTACTTTAACATTAATATAAACAATTACATTAAGCATGTTTGAAAACTATGTATGAAAACCAGAAAGATAGAAATTTACATACCCGTAAAAATTTGTGTTTGGTATATACAACTCTTATTAATCGATAAAATGCTTGAAGAACAAAGCTCATATAAAAACAACCACCTGTTTCATAAGTAAGAAAACCAAGAAGTTGACATTCAAATAATTGTTTATTAGTACCATATAGATTTACTGTTAGAGCATTAAGAGTCTGTGCTGATATCATGAAAGATAATGCAAACATAGCTGCATATGTGTTTGTTATAAGAAGGATTGAAACATTCCTTTTATGTTGTAGATGAATGATCAAGATGAAAAATAAAGTGAAGGAAATCAATACTGTAAGACTAGAGCTGATTAGAGTAATTGAGGTAAAAATATAACTTAGTAACATCGTTTGTTTTAACTGAACACTAAAGAAGTTGGTAAGATAATGCTATTCTTTTCAAGCTCTTTTCTCATTTGTTCTTTTATGAAATGGCGTATGTTTCTTTTTTGAGTCAATTGACTGAGTAAGTGTCTAGCAGAAGATATTTTCTTATTTAGTAAAACTTCAGTCGCTTTGAGCAATTTACTTGCATTCAAAGAAGTTCTAAAGTACCTGTTATTAAATGAATGGAAACAGAACATAAAGGGTTCAAATACGTAATTAGAAAAATATTCAAACCTTAAAGCTTTGTTTCTAAGTCTGTCAAAATGTTTACCATTGTGTAAAGGTTAGTAGAATTCAAAACACTGTAGAATGTTATAATATTTGATCAAAGTGAAACATTTGTTTTTTCGAAATCAATTTTGTATAGATTATCAGATGATAATCTTGAAGAGGTTCAATCAGAAGGACAGAAAAAAAAAGCATTCATTAGTTTATCGTCAAAAATCAGTTTCAAACTAAACTGAAAAATTGAATTTTCCTCTAAATGATATCTTGAATCTTACTTAGTAAAAATTCAAAAACTAACTATTCGTAGACAAATTTTTGTGGTCTATTCGACTTCAGAAAGAAAACTTATGTCGAAATTAATTTGTAGAAATTTTAAATTTTCAGAACCTGATAACCTTCAGAAATTTTCTTCTTGAATATAAATTTATAGATTAAGTATTACAATATGATTAATGTTTTTATCCATGACAATTTATAATTCAGTCTTCTCACTTGTCCAAGACAAGTACTCTCGGAACCATAGTATATAATCTTGAACACACATGAAGAAAAATAGAGAAAAGCAGATGCTTTAAGAGTCAACAACATCATCTTGTAAGAATCTATATATTTTCTAAACAAAACATAATTTAATTTGATTATTTGAGAGGCACGAAGGAAGTTGGTTTTCATTTAAATTATTAATGAATCAACAACTTTTTCTATTTTTGCTATTAGTCAGTCGAACACATGTTGAATTATGCTTTGAAAACGGATATACACTTAACTGAATCTTTTTGTGAGAGGCATGCCTATCTAATTTTGCACTTTCTTCCAGCACATGTTTCAATGGAACTTCCTACATAAATACTAAATATTTAAAGAAATAAATTGAATCTAGGTAATGAGTATGCATGAACCGATGATGTAGGTACTAATATGTGACTTTTAAAAACTTATCTTATATAAAATCTAATTACAGTAATAGTGATTAAAACATTAGTTTCAAGCGTACCAATTGTATGAGGATGAGTGTTTTTTTGCAAGTGTGGTAGTTAATGAACTTTGTTATGGTTATGAGTGTGATTGATCGAACAGTTGAAGAGTAGTATCATACGGCACCAATACTCATACATCCATTTGATATTAATATCAATTCAATCTATTGAGTAGTATATTTTACAGGAACATCTAAATACTCAGTCGAAAGTCAAGCGATCCTCCACGACAAGCGTTGTTTGTCAGCTTACAATCAAAATGATAACAATTTCTGTAATTGATAAAATGCTTAGAAATCTTGTAATTTAGAATTACCATTTTCTCAAGTCATTCGATTTATTGAAATCGTTGATTGTATTGTCAGATACATCGTCGATACCTAAATTCATTTTCCTAATGACAATATATATATGCTAACTGTCATCGAAAGCAGCAAATTTCATCTTGTTCTTTGCTCCATCGGCGCAACTACCATTGTATCCTACTATACACATAGTAAACTTTCGAGTACATGATCCTTTCTTTCGACGAATTTTGAGATATACTGTCGGATTTTACCTAAATGTAAAATTCAATTAGTTCATAATCTTCTATGTTCATCTTATTCTGTCTCTGCTATGTCAATAATAACATAGTCCTAGTGATTGACAATTATAATAACATTCTTTCGCTGCATTAAATATCAAAACTTACATTATTCACACCCGTTAGAATCTACAATGAAAGTCCTAGAAACATACAATGCTTTGAAAGATTCTAGAACAATCTAAGCATTATTATGACTAACTCGCCTTTTCCTGTTGCTAAGAAAACGTCTTCAATAATAATTAGTCTCTCCACCTCTATTATTATGTAGATGTATGCAATAGTCTTTGGCTTCTCTCTATCCTTTTCACTGAGTTTCTATGACCTTGGTGAATGAGAGTCATAATAATTTTGACTTAAACTTCCACTAACTATATTTTCTTCCAAAATGTGTCACTTTCACAAAATGCTATCAACATTACACGAAAAATAATCACTATTGACATCAAGAAATGGACTAATCTTATGATAACACATCTTTTGATGTGAATATTCGTTATGAGAAACAAACATATCAGCTGACATCTACAATGAAATTACAAGAGCAATAAAAAAATTGACTGCTACTTCAAAGTGCTCAAGCTTTTCTTTTGCATACCAGAGTAAAGCTACCTAATTCAACATACATATTTAATCCAACATTGTAGTTTAATATACGAGGATTGATCGGTTCTCATAAATGTGTTTATTGCAATCCGGATGAATGTGTTCTCTGTTATACATATCCGACATGTGATTATTTTGGATTCTCTTCTATATTAGTCAGCCATATATTCAGTTTTCTGCTGGATCACGAACAATAGTGTAAATGTCAATCGTTTTCTACCTTTTTAAGACTGATTAAATGATACCTGATTGCTTTAATCAAAAGAAGTGAACTCTGATTAACTAACATTTAACGAGTACTATAAAACACATTAAATGATCTTCTCTACTATTTTTCATTTATAAACAATAGGCAGTACATTAGACATTTCTTGTTTTGTTTTTGTTTTCTTTTTAACTAAATTTACCCAATATTTCACAATCACAGCGGATTTCAGCTAGCTGTTAACATTAAATTGTTAAGCAATCTGAAGAACAGCATGTCGACCTCTCCAGTTGATTGTTATGCCTATGATCTGTTCAAACAAAGAGTAATTTCTTCAGGTTTCAGGCAATCTTTCACATAAGTATCAAAATAAGAACGAATCAGTCAGTAAGTGGAAGATGAATGTAAAAAAAGCTGAATTTTTGCTATCGAACTGTTCATAATTAGGACGGAAAAGATAAAATAGACTATTTTAAAACTTAATTATTTCCCATAAAAAGTCGAGCATGCATATTAAAAACTAATGAAAGTCAATCTTTTAGAAAGATCAGACCTTTGTACTACAGTGGAGTGTGAGTATGCTCTTTCATATGCAATAGAATCTGTTGGCAAATGAAACAGTCTAATTCACACTTTTTTTCTTATTTACTTATTTTTCTCAAATAAATCGAATATGATATCAGACTTAAAATCTTATTCAAGTCTTTTTCATCAGCAATATTTTATTCTTATAAACAAAAAAGAAAATAATACTGAACTAGATTAATAAAAATCAGAAAAGATCGATTCATAGTTTTAAACTTGAAGTGATGTTGATAGGAGGACACAAGGTTGTCGTAGTTCTCGCATTGGTAATGTCATTGGTGCTACTTGATTTCCACAAGACTTTAATTTTATCAATATTTGTTTAATTTGTGGAGTAATAAATATCATAACTATACTGAGTATGAGTACAGCTACAGCTGGACCCAAAAATTGAATTCCATATATATAATAAGAATCAAAAATATGAAGATTAATATTTGTCATGATGCCGAAACCCGTATTTGGTAATACGGATAAAGTAAGAGTAATGACAGTAAATAATATACGACGAGTAACAATTAGATCACGATGAGCTCTTCTTCGTTTTCGCGCTTCTATCCATTGAAATGCCTGATGACGTATAAAATATAGTAAACGAACATAAATTATTGTCAAATAAACAATAGGAACAACCGAAATATTCATAATCGTATACAAAATCCCAGCAACTTTTTCATAACGAATACCACAGTAATAATCTGATTCATATAAAGAATAGAGTGAGCCCGGCCAAAAGTATGATGGAAGAAGTATAAGAAAATAAATAATCCATTGAAGTTGAATACAAATTAAATTGAATGAAAATCCCTAGAATTTCATCTTTAGCTTTTTAAATTGCTTCAACATCAATATCAATAATTATATCAAGCATGTTTGAAAACTATGCATGAAACAAAAAAGAAAGATAGAAATATACATACCCGTAAAAATTTGTGTTTGGTATATACAACTCTTATTAATCGATAAAATGCTTGAAGAACAAAGGTCATACAACAACAACCAAATGTTTCATAAGCCAGAAAACCTAGAAATTGACATCCAATCATTTGTTTGTTGGTAAGATCAGTGCTACTATATAGATCTGCTTTAAGAATAATAATAGATTTTGATAAAATCACCAGAGAATATACGAGTATAGCTGCATATGTATTTGTTGTAAGAAGAAGTGAAATATCTTTTTTTCGTAGTAAACAAATTACAAACATAAGAAATAAAATAAAAGCAATCAATATTGTGAAACTAGAACTAATGAGAATAATCAAAGTAAAAACAATATTTAACAACATTGTTTCTTTTTGAATTGAATGTTAAAGATTTGTGAATGAACATGATACTCTGTTTTCTAGTATTTCTCTTTCATAAAAACAGAACTTATTCAGTACAACCCTAGTCGCTTTCAAAGTGTTTTTTTTCATTAGTCAAAGAACTTCTAATATACTATTTATTAAGTCAAGTGAAAAAGAAGAAGATGGTTATCAGTATGAAATTCTAGTCACATTTTCATGTATATTCTCCAATGTATATTTGATTGACAATCCAGGTATAGCCAGCAGATGTATATAAAAGTTCATTTTAGATCAAAATAAAAAACTGAACCATATCAAATTCATGGATATTATTAAACATCGAGTGTTTTTCTTCTTAATAAATGTGCCTAGAGTAACAGAATGAGTTAAAGAAATGCTATCAATTAAAAGGACGAATTTTCATATAAATCTTCGTTTATTTATCATTTAATAGCAATTTCATACCTGAAAATTTAAAACGTTCAAAATTTTTCATGAATGCACACATTTTCCTCAACAAGTTAATTTTGTAAACTTTTTCTAGGTAAGTTTCAAAAGTGCATAATGAAGGAAAGATCAGATCAAGTTTCACACATAGTAAGAAAGCTATTTCTACCAACAAAAATAATGAATAATTTTTTTTTTTGTTTCGAATGATTTCATCTAGGTCAATTTGTATCTCAGATCTTGAAGAGAAAACCTCTCAAAACAGTATTTTCTATTCACCACAACGAAAAAAAAAGTCTTTTTAACATGATTCCTTTGAAACTGAAATATGGAATTCATATGTCTTAGTTTCCTTACACTAATAAAAACTGTGACAGGTGTTAAATCTGTAAAAGATTATACTTCTTTTCTATCAATATTTCGTTTTCTTGTTTTTTTTATTAGTGTCCTGTTTTTTTCTATATTTGTAGTATTGCTATTTGCATAGTATTTATTTGCTTTTCATAATCGATGGACTCAGTCGAACTTTATCCGGTCATGAAAATTCTACTCACTATATTTTCTTCGAATATGTATCTGAGTTCCACAAAAATCTAATAATAATATTAGTAATTGGATCAACTAGTCATAGATAATATGACTTCTTTGTATTTCTTATTTTCATACGAACCATATGTCGTCAACCATGATGTAAGATGAGTTTTCCTATTATGTTCCGACTACGGTCTACTATTACAACTAGCGTAAGAACTGGATTGAATATTTTTGTTTTTTACAAAATAAATAACTAAACAGTATTATACATTGAAACGAAATAGGCTGTTAGTAGAAAGGAATATATTTATAAAATAAGAGTTTGAAAGATTCGAATCAATATTTGCCATAGCGAATATAAAATAGAAATTTCTAAATTTTATTGCATTGTATTCGTCAAACAAGATTGGTTTCAACAAAGCAATCAATTGTTGATGGAAAAAATTCAATAACATATTTTTTCATACAAAACCAGTGGCGTACGCAGAAATTTTTCAAGGGGGGCCCAACTTCGTAGGGGGGGGGCCGGCCATGGCACAAAAAATTTTTTATCATGTGAAAATATTTTTTCCTGTACCCCCCTCCAGGACTTTTTCGTCTCAAGGGGGGGCCCGGGCCCCCTCGGCCCCCCCTGCGTACGCCACTGTACAAAACTAAAAGTATCTGCTGAATATTCTCTAGCTTCAATCAGTGTCCATATGCGATACTATTTTCTATCGAAAGTATATATAGAAAATTGTTAAATTACCTATTACTTTTACTCAATCAGGATAAAATATAGACGATGATTTATTTTTTCTATACTGAAAGAATACACTAATTATACGAATAGAAATTATTTGCCTGAAATTCTAATACATTCGAAAAGATTCTTTTTTTTCAAAATAATATCATTTATATTATCCAATTGAATAAAATATTTCTTTCGACTTTTTTAAAAAACCAGACACATATGCATATCAATGTATACATGCATCTGACTAATCCTCATCTTGATCACCTATATCATTCATTCATTCAATAATAAACAGAAGAAATAAAATAGTGATTATAAACTCATCCTTCTAATTGTTAAATAAAATGAAAAAGATCGAATTTCAAATCGATTTATATATTTATCAGTTAAACTTTTATATAAAACAGTAGTTTATTTCAGAATTTATATTCTTCTTGATGAAAGACGAACGATAATAAATAATCAATGATCTTTATTTAAACATTATAGTCATATAGCGCTACATCAAACATATATTTCTCTTTGGTGTTGAATGATGATATGTAAAGATTAGAAAGTCACATATCTCTTCACTTATTCGAATAGATTAACAAGTATTACGAAATGAAAATTTTATTATAGATATAACTTATTGTCAATAAAAAAAAAAATCAAGACAACAACGGTAATACTTAAGAATAAACAGAAGGTTTATTCATCAAAAGTTAATCATATTGTTCATTTAACGAACGATTTATTGAAAAAAACAAAATATAAAGAAAATTTTATTTTCTCTTTCTTATTTTATAATTGGAATTAACCCTTGAGCAAAGTAGCAATTGATTGAATGAATATATATATATATTCATGTCTGGACAAACGAAGAAGAGTGTTGATGAAGTGAAGTGACACAATACAGAAGCTCTATACAAATATATACACAACCAATCATGTACAAATATCTTTTTTTTCTCATACATACACATAAATAACACTTTGGAGAAATAAATTGATATTTAGAAAGAGAGAAAAAGAAATAATCTCTTAACTGTTAAGATTATATTTGATTGATTTGAAAAAAAAAAAAAAAAACGATAATTAAAAAATACTCGAAATATTTTATTAACAAAAAAAAATTCATTTATTCAAGTTTATTACGTAAAATTTATCGTAGGATGATTGAACTTCGATTAGTAAAAGAAAATAAAATAAAAATGTTCATCTAATATTATGCAAAAAAAAAAAAAAATAAAAGATTTGATAATCTTCATCTCTCAAAAACTATACAACACACAAGATTTTGTTTTGATTGCAATCAATAGAAATTTACTGATGAATAAAACAATTCTGAAAACATCTCAATATTGACCCTATAATTTTTTCTGCTTTATAATCACACTTTCAATTATTGTCCGTACTCTTCTTTTTTTTTTTGCCCATCGGCCAATTGTGTCAAAATGATGTTTTAAGAATAACACCTTTTCTATCGGTTTCTCCTCATGTTATAACATAATTAAAATTAATCGAATCAATTGTATGTTCATTATGTTTAGTTTACGGATGAATGACAGTGTCTGAAAAATATTATTTCCAATTCTCATTTACATAGTCTTCTTTTTTTTGTGTTTAGGTTCACAGCTGTCGATTATATTGCAGAAGTAAAAAAAAAAAAGAATAAGCTAAGCAAAATTTCAAAAGAAGGGCAACACATGTTGTTTGAAAATAAATTCAATTGAATATAATCTAGAGTTTGCGAATAGAATAAGAACTAAGAATATAGATTATATTATCTTAATAAAACAATCATCATTGGTTAACTATTAAAGACAACTATCCAATTGATGATAGATTTTTCATATATAATCATAAAAGAAAACTAAATCATTTTTCTCTCTTCTCTTTCTCAACATCCAATCATTGATCAAATAGAGAAAAAAAAAAGGTAATTCAATAGAAATTAATTCATTCTATCAACGCATCAGAAAACGACAGTAATATTAGAAAGAAATAAGATAATACGTTTTTTTTAATTAATTATGCCTATTTATTATCCATCAAATGGATTTTCTATTGATGATATTATTAAAAATAATAATTCATCAAAAATTTCAAATCGATCATCATTATCTTATGTACCACCGATTACATGGTTAACACCATCAACAACAAGTATTTATCAATTTCAACATGAATCAATATTTCAATATCTTCGACATACGACGAATCAATTGACTAGTTTGTGTTTTGTTTTTTTTTTAAAAAAAAAAGTTTAATTTATTTATCTAGATTCAGGATTTTTTTTTAATACATATCGTAAACCAAAACGTAATCGTACAGCTTTTACACCATCACAATTACTTAAATTAGAAAATGCATTTGAAAAAAATCATTATATCGTTGGACAAGAACGTAAAGAATTAGCAAAACATCTTAATTTACCTGAAGCTAGAGTAAGAATATCAATTAGCAAAAAAAAAAAAAAAAAAACTAATCTTTTAGGTTAAAGTATGGTATCAAAATCGTCGTACAAAACATAAACGTTTAATAAATGAAGATGGTAATAGTAGTACAAATGAATCTGATAGTATAATTAAACATTCTGATGAACATATTTGGAATAATGAAGAAAATTCTAAACATTATCATTTAAATCTTAATCATCAACAAGAAAAATCTCATACAAATTAATAAAAAGAAATAAACCGGTCTATTGTTTATTTATTTAATACATTCCATTCATTTTTCTGTTACATTAGTAGTATGACTTTTTTTTTTAAAGATAATAAAATATTAAATGATTGTAACACAGTGTTACGTTTATATTTAACATTTAGACTAGTGGATGGATGATATGAGACAAACAATCGTTAGTGACTTGCTAAGTAGTGGCGTAACCACGAGGGGAGGCTAGGGGGGCTAAGCCCCTCCCAGAATCGTTTGAGCCCTCCTCCCTAGAAAATTTTTAGTTCTCATGAAAAATACAATTGTTTCTAATTTGGATGGCTATTCTGAGCCGAGTGAGCGAGACACTTGAGTTTATCCTATTTAATATCGGATATTTTTCTTTGATAAAATAGAAGAATAACGTTAATGTTTCAAACCAACGGAGGAATCAATGAACTTCTCTGATGAAAAAAATTATTTACTCATTTTTGATTGTGGGAAGTTTCTGATCTGGTCACTGCAGTCTTAATACATTTTTATAAGACAGATATGGAAATTTTTGTGTTAGATTCAAATTATTGACCTTATCGAGAATGGATCTGTTTTCAGTAAGTGTTATTTGGAATTTCTCACTACGGTTTTCAGTGACAGCTCGAAACGTGGTTACCTAAACTACTATTGTGTGCAGGACGATATTGAACTGGAGATATTTTTTTAGTAATTCTTTAGTCCAAAATGCTCTCCTAAATTACCTCATACAGACTACCAAAAGCTCTTTTTCCATTCTTATGGGTCTCGTGCTAAAAAAACAATTTCGAATATTCCTTCTTGAAAGTTATTTACTGAGAAATCTAAGGGGCATAGAATCGACTTTTAATGTGAGTTTGCTTACCGAAAAAATCTGTGATATCAAAAATAGACATTTTTCCTTTAAAGCAATTCGTAACAGCAATAATATAAGCAAGATTCTGTGCAAACGAAGTTTTAGTGATTCTCTACGTTTTCATTTTTATCTGAGCTGTAGTCAGTAGCGGAACGAATCATTATCTGATAATGTCATCTAAAATTGACTTCATATTAGTAAAATCGGACAAAGTTCTTTCGAAAATGTTTCTCTTGGGAGCAAGTATTTATCGCTCGAAAAAGCTTCTTGACCTTATTCTAACAGACTGCATGTGATGAGTTGTAAAAATGCTTGATACTGTCTAAACGAACAAAGGAGAACACTCCGGTGCTCCCTGACATCTTGATGGGCAGACCTATAAATATATTTTAAATCGACTTTCATATAGTTCATGCTATCACAAATTTTGACACTTCTAATTCAATGTATTTTAATTTTTGAAACACTTTAGATAAAAAGAGTCACGCTTCTAACTACTTCATTTAGAATCACTATGCTCCTTACATAGCATGCGACTAATTTTGAGTGCTTAGTTTCTGATTCAGACATCATATTGGAAATTACCTTTGACAATAACTTAGATCTGAATCATTATGTGCAATTGTATTCATTGTAGCCATTGAACATGAAAAAGTCCCACTTTTATGATAAAAAATATAAACTCAGAGGACATCCTCTAAGAAATCTTAAAGTGTTGAAATACCGGTCTCAAATAGCCTTGTATACTTCAGATAGACCAGAGACTTAGTTCCCTTTTGCTAAAAATAATGAAAAATAATTAGCACTAGCTTTGTGCACTTTTTAAAAACGTTTGGGGCTGAGCCCCCCCTAGCCTGAAATCCTGGTTACGCCGCTATTGCTAAGGAACATTTTATGGCTAATAGTACCAAGGTTAAAACACAGTACAGTGAGAACTCAAAAAAGCATGTACATTTTTGTTTTTACGCATAAACGAATAATAAGGATACTCTGAAAATTTTCTCTCATATCGGACTTTGTAGAACTTTTTTCGTTGCTCATTCTGATAAAAAAAATTTTTTGATTTTCATTGAGTAATGACGATGTTATAGTCAAAATACTAAACACTGTAATATAAAGTAGGGAAAAAAGTTTAGCACACTTTTAGTATTTGACTAATTTTTATGTTATTTCACAACATCTGAAAGATGTTCTATATATCATTCGACGCAGAATTTAATGGGGTATATTTTGGTAACAAACACTTATACTTATATTGCAGTTAATTAATTAATTAATAATAATTAATAAAATTTTGATTTTGTTTTTTTAAATTCCAACTCTTTCATATGAAAGAGCATAAAAAACTGAACAAAACTCTATAATTACTATTTGAAAAGCAACGAATTTAGTGAGGTTTTAGTGTGATTTTCAGAGTATGTTCAGTTGTAATTAGATATAGTATGTATTACAGTGTTTAGTATTTTGACTATAACATCGTCATTACTCAATGAATATCAAAAAACTTTTTTTTAACCAAAATGATCGGCGAAAAAAGCTCTACAAAGTTCGATATGAGAGAAAATTTTCAGAGTATCCTTATTATTCGTTTATGCATAAAAACAAAAATTTACATGCTTTTTTGAGCCCTCACTGTATCTTATAAATATGTGTTAAACTATCGGGTTGTGCATAACCTTTTGCTAGGGGGGTAGCGCTATTATTTCAAGTTGAATACCTAATGAATTTTATATCAAATTAAAGAGCGTCGAAAACTGGATTTATTAGTACTAAATAGTAAGAGTTATCAAAATATATTAATGTCGAACTTACGAAATTTTATGCTTTTTTTAGCATAGAAAATTAAGGCACCAGCAGTTCAAATATAGAGTTAAATATTTTCTTTTGATATTTTTACATGGTTCGATAGAGCTCGTCGAGCTTTACAAAACTGTATATATCAGAAGTTTTTTAAGCCATTTTTCTGAGATAAAAAATTTTAAAAATGACTTGTAAAATCCTAAAAAAATCTCTAATAACTCGGTTTTTTTATATGGAAGAAAAACATTTGATTTTTTCAATGAAATTAGCTTTTTTCATTATCTTTACTGATAAAGACGCTTCGAAATAGACTCATCCGATGCAGCGTGAAAAACTGCGTCTAACAAGTATATCCCGAAGCGTCTTTGTTAGTAAAAATAATGGGAAAAGCTAATTTTATTGAGAAAATCGAGTGTTTTTCTTCCCTATAAAAAATTGTTGATGCCTTAATTTTCTATGCTAAAAAAAGCATAAAATTTCGTAAGTTCGACATTAATATATTTTGATAACTCTTACTATTTAGTACTAATAAATCCAGTTTTCGACGCTCTTTAATTTGATATAAAATTCATTAGGTATTCAACTTGAAATAATAGCGCTACCCCCCTAGCAAAAGGTTATGCACAACCCGATACATAGCCACTGCCGATATCAAATCGCTTTTCGTTCTTAAAATATGAAAATTTTACTGTATTTTATCAAAAAAAAAAAGAAAAAGCTGTGTCCCATCTCTAATAGACTTTAAACTTTGAATGAACAGATTGCTAAAATTTGCACAATGAATTAATCTCACTAAAAAGAAGAATTCGAAATACGAAATTGTAATATAATATTATATAAAAGTTTGATATATTAAGGTTACTCATATCCGAGAATAATAACGAAAAGAAAAACAAGATTTTCTTGTTTTTTTTTATGACACAAATTCGATCATATATTTATAGAAAGAGATTTTATATTACTTTGCGTTTATTTTTTTCTTGCTTTGTTTTTATGCAAATAACTGCAATAATCATTAGTTATTCATCGTTTGACACAAACGAAAAGAAAAAAAAAAAGTACATATTGATATAAGCAAGAAAAGAGCAGAGGCTGTAGAGAACACGTATATATATATACCAAAACCTACGATATCGATTTCTTTTCATTCACACAAACGAAAATAAAAAGGAACTATTACCTACTACAAAATGTCATCTGCACATGAAGCTGCTAATGCTTTACCATCGAATTTTGATTTGGGTGGTTTATCAAATGCATTCAATAATCCAGCACAAGTGTTTAGTATGTTAGACAAAAATAATGATGGACGTATAACAAAACAAGATTTAGCACAAGTATTAGAACAATTTGGAGTTAATGGTATGGCAGCTAAAGTATTATCATCATATCTTTTTAAACAATTAGATGCTAATGATAATGGAACTATTGAACCAAGTGATCTTGTACATGCTAATGGAATTTTAAATAATTTATTAAATATGAAACAAAGTGGGGGCTATTAAAAAATAAAAAACAAATGAATCATAGTTTTAACTCATAAATAACTATTGCTTATCTTCATCTTTAAATTTTTCTTTTCATTTGGATAATAAAAATAATTTGTAATTAATAAATAGTTATTTATAAGAATGTGACTGACTATATGAAATAAAATATTCATTTCGATTAAAGTCGTATAATTTTATGGTTTTATATATTTCGAATAACTAAAATCAAGTAATAAATTTAATCATGTGAAGATTATAGAGTCATATTTAACTTAATGTATTCAAAATAAAGTTGTTTGAAAGATTGACAATAGCACTGCATGACTAATACAAGATTGAGAATATTAAATAGAATTCTTTTGCCTTAGAAGATAAGCATTATATAATTATCAAAAAAAAAAAGAAAAATCTACTTAAGTCAAGTTTTTATTACATTTTCACAATAAAGTTTATTTCGATTGAAAGGTTTTTATCTACATTTAGAAGTTAAAAATTAGAGAAGATATCACTAACGTAAGTTCTTTTTCAGTGAAATATAAAGTGGATTAGAATCTACTTAGCTTTACTGCTTATGATCAATATTTTATTGAATGATTTTCATATATTTGAAAAGGAGATAAATAAATTTATTAGATATTTTAATCAACAATAAAATAACAATATATTTTTTTTTTGTTTTGTTAAAATAAGAAAAATATTTTAAATCAAAATTTTCAATTCGATAAAAATTTTAATAAAAAAAAAAAAACAAACATAAAAGTAATCATCAATCGATAATAGAATGATGTAACAATAGATATACTATTTGATCTGATATTATTCGGTTGTGTTGGATTAATTTGTGGTAATGGTATATCATTATAATTTGTATTATTAATTTTATCATTTGTTAATGATGCTAATGCAAATGAATATAATAAATGATCGACCTATGCAAAATTTTGATTTATTATTAATTATGATTTACTTATGAATTAAACACAACTTACTTTTATAATATTACCATCATTATTACAAAAATCTGAATTACATAAATAGAAAAATTTAAATGCTTCATGTGTATTATCAATTCCATAATTTGATATATCTTCAATTATATTAAATCGATATTCAATATCATATTGTATATGAGAATAATTCATAGCACAATCTTTTTGTATTGAATGACCTTTCGAAAAACTAAATATACATTGATGTTCATTATTTGCACATCGTATATCCGTATCATCTTTAATACAACTAGAAATATAAAAATTATCAAAAGTTAAAAAGAAAATGATTTTAAGTTTTACTTAAGTTCAGATATTCCTATTGGATCAGATGTGTGTAGTAATTCAATAGTTTTCTTGAATATATTTAATCTTGTTTCTGTAATAGTTAAATTTGATAAAAGATTACGTAGTTTATCAAGTGCACAATTATCAGATGTTTTACATTGAATACGTGTTGTCATTTGTATTTTTTCTTGTTCTAAATTACCAGTAATTTTATATTGTACAACACTTTTTATACCTTTAGCAAGACCCAACATATCATCATAAGGACTTAATACTGATTGTACAGCAGTAACATGAGTTAAATAAATTTTCATCTTTTGTGTATTATAATCAATTGAAATTTCTGCATAACAAGAACCATCAGTATGACCAAGTATTGACATAGAATTAGCTTCATGTATAGCACAATTTTTATATGTATTAACTAAATCTTTATTATTAGGAAATGAATCATTGATATAAAGTTCAAATGTACATGTTGATAATGATATTATAGAACCAGCTTGATTTGTCATACAGAGAAGTGCATTTGTTGAAAAATATTTTATAAACAAGAAAATCAAAATCAAGAAGGACATAATAATTAATTTGAATAAGATGATAAATGAGAATAATAATAATTGATATGGCGCTCATTTTTCGAATTCAACTATATATATAGAAACTTAAACTATTAAAGACTTATTATTTTTAGTCAAATAGT